TGCATCATGTCTTAATCATCAATCTTGTTTAATTAAATGGTTTATCGAATATGATGGTGGTTCAACAATTTCACGAGCTGAAATTTTTTATGCTATAGTAAATATTCTATTTTTTATTATATGAAACGAACTTGAAAATAATATCTCTGTTATTATTTTAAGATTGATGGTACTAATAAAGTAGGAAAATTGAGTAAGCCAATTCATATTGAACCATATACAACTGAATATGAATTCAAAGAACTTAAACCGAAAACAAATTATTTAATTATTGTTCGTCTATTTAATACAGCTGGTTATAGTGAAGAAAAAATTCGAATAATGACAGGTAAATTATATTTAAATGAGTTATTTTTTTTTTATTGATCTATTTCAATGTTTTATATGATATTCTTAGATTCAACTTCTATATGTAAAACAGGTTGTCCTTCAAAACCAAGTGTATTCATTATTGCAATAATAATAACTAGTATTATTATTGGTGCTACTATTATCTTTATTTTATTGATCTTAAATCGAGTACTACTTACACGTCATGGTTACCGAAATCCTAAGTCATCTCGAATAATTAACAGGTTATACAACTTGATATTTTTCATTTTATATTTGTTTTTTAATTTTTTGTTTGTAGAAGAATCACTGACGATGAATAATAAATGTTTTTCATTATTATCTATATAAAAACCAAATGAATTTCTTTTCAGATAAAACATTCATGTGTTAACAGAGAAAATCATGTGTTCATTCTTTAAATATTATTCGGCAAGAACTCAATGGTTTACAAGGCATTCATTGACAAGTGTTGTGCATTTATTTTTCAATATCTAGTCTCGAACAATTCTTTTAATTGAAATATCTCCTATGAATTCCTAAACGAGATGCTGTATTTAATTTAATTGAATTTGCTTTTTTTATTTCATTAATAAAAATTTATGATAACACGCAAAGTAAATGAATTATGTAGATGATGAAAAAATATTATATTTTAAACATGTATTATTTTATCATTGAAATATCGGTGATCGTATACACTCTTGAAAAATATTTATCTACTAAAGAATATTCATTGTATAGATTGTTCTAGAATGAAACTAATTGGTTGACACGTTCATATTTGACACTGTTCTATTTAACTTTTATTAACAAATGGAAATAAAGAAACTTGTTTCAATTTTATTTAAGTTAGTCAGAACTTATTCGACTTTTTCATGTTTTCATGACTTTCTTTCAATTTAAGGGATAGATACTTAGATTAGTAGGCAAGAACTTGTAGAAAACTTGTGATACAATGTTTCAGTTAAATAGAATCGACCATTTTTATGTTATGTTTTTTTCATAGTTAATAGCAGCTTTAAAACCTTATTTTAATCTAATTCAATGTAAAATCTCTATATGTAAAGGAACGAAATTCACGTAATTACTATTTCAACACCATCTGCCTGTTACTCGATTACATGGTTAACATACATTAATATTAATGTTGCCTTGCAGATTCTTGTTCATACTATCAGTGCTTCGATGAGCGTTTCTCTATCTCGTATTACATTGTCCATGAAACAGTTATCAACAGTACTATAAATAGTCAAGACAGAAGTAAAAGATATCATCAAACATAGATATGACTACGTGTAATTTTCGATTCATAATGTAATGTCTCTTTGTTCTCCCACTCTATCTTAGAGTTCTCTGAACATAATTATTACTATGAATGTCATGAGTTTTTTTTGAGCTTCGAACAGATAGTCTAATAGTCATTAAAAAATGGAATCAAAGCTCGAATGGACACAAATTAATCGAGATGCAAGAGCATCTATGCACAAAAACAAAAAATATATAAAACGATGTTCAAATAAAGACAGCTCTAAAATATGGATGTTGGTGAGCCCCTTCTCTTCACGCACACATATCTCTACCCACCACTCTTGCACAGTCATCCTACATCTGTAATAAATATAGAATTACCACTGTAAGTTTTGATAAAACCTATTTGAAATCCTTGCTTGTGCATTATTAATATGACTTTATCAATAACAAAAAAACCGTCCAGCTAGTCAATATCTATTCAAAATATTTAGTTGCCTTTCACAAAACGCAGTTTAGGTGCAACCGATAATAATACTTTATTTAAGGCGTATATTACTTTTCAAGATCATTTGTGATATACATATAGTTTTATCTCATATGACCCTTGATAATTACTATTAAAAAAAAAACTTTCTTTATACCATGTATAGCTTTCTACAAATGACCTCAATGCCACATAGATTAAAAAGTTTTTCTGACAAAAAGCTCATATCTTCTGTACATCTCTGAAAATGCTTCGAGATCAAAAATCTTTATTGATCACAAACTTGTCTCTAAATTACAATAACTTTTCATTACAATTTTTGAAAGCAATTAACTTTCTATATGTACTCTTATTAATTAAATCTTGAAAAGTTAACAATAAAATTTAATTGTTTTTCAGAAACCTAATGAAATAATCAACTTTATAATCAACTGAAAATTTAAAACAATTTTATTTGACTTAAACTTAATTTTTTTCATGTTTGCAAATGAGAGCTAGACATAAGTGTCATTCTTTAATACTACTTATCTACAGAGCCACAGACTCATGCCCGCGCAGGTTTACTTGCGGACCATCCTTCGGAATATTTATTAAGAATTTCTTTCTTTGCTTTTTTGACAGCGATTTTCCTCAAGATCAATATTTGATACACAACCTCTCGAATGAGATCTCCATCAAAACGAACTATGGATCTCGGCAAAGCAAACCCACTGTTTTATGTACGGGAAAATTGAGTAGTCATTCTTAGATTGTCTTTCAAGCTGAAAGGATGCAGTCGAGACATGGTGAAACAATTGATTAGATGAAAAAAAAGTGTTGGGTCGCAATTTCGAGAGATACTCATTCATAGAGATTTAGTAGTACCAAGTAGAATACATTCCATTTGTTGACATTCCAGAAGGGAATTTCTTTCATTCCGATCAGCGAAATCAACGACAATCGTCTTGAAATGTAATTATTGAAAAAAGAATCTTCTCCCATTGTTTATCTCATCGAGATTTGATATGGTCGAGAAAAGTTCAAGTTGAGACTAAACTTAACCTGTGCAATTATAAGTTGTATTTCGAGATAACGATCAATAACAAAGGAATAAAAACTCATTCATGAAAGTAGGTAGATTTTTCACAACGCCAAACATCTCCTTGATTGAGACAGTCTCACAAACATCAAACATTTCGACACTCAAACGAACATCAATAAATTTAAGAAGGAATCACTAGCCAAGTTTTGCCATCTATACAGATCACTCTTCAAAGAAAATTTTGGAAAAAATCAGACAGATTGATGACAGAGAAAGTCTCACGAGAAAACATACTCAACTGTTAATCACCGATCGGAGTAATATTTTTTCGATAAGTAGGATTCAGTGAGACTAGAATAATCCTAAAAGAATTTGTCTGTATAGGTCTGTCTTGTGAACTTATGGCCGTTTTTACTGGATTCTCGATTGGTGGTAATGTATTCATGGAAACTCAAAAAGAAAGAATTTTCACCTGAAAGCTTGCTGGCAAATAGATCTCATGATTCTAACAATATCTTGAAATTTTCAATCAAAATGGATGGCTCTTTCTTGAGATCTTGAATATTCCAAAAAAACGAACATATGTCACAAAAGAAGTCATAGAAATGATTTTTCTTCAGAATTCAATATCTTGAGAAAGAACCATCCATTTTGGCTGAAAATTTCAGGATATTGTAAGCATCATGAGGTCTGTTTATGAGCAAACTTTCAGATGAAAATCTTCTCTTTTTGACTTTTCTTCAATACGTTGCCATAAGTTAAAAATTCGATAAAACGATCATAAGACCACAAGAAAGATCCTTGAGGATGGAGTCTCTTAGGACTTTTCTAGTCTCGCTGAGTCCTATTTATCAACAAAATACCACTTCAATCGATAATTAACAGTTGGGTATGTTCTTTTGTAAGTCTAATTATAAGAAGATTTTTGATCAAAATATTCCAGTAAAAGCGGAATATTATGCAAAAAAGACTTTTTTGCAGATAAAAACCTTCACAATATCTACAGATTATTGATCAACGAAGAAAATAGCAATATTTGAATGTTGAACATTAAATTGAAATAAAACAAAACAGAAAAAAACCGAATATAAAAATTTAAAGAATGAAAGAGTTGTTTTGCCTATATATTTGGCTTCAGTATATCAATATCAATAATACTACTTCGTTTCGTTTTTTATATATCTACTATGATAGAATAAATTTGAAGTACTTATGAAAATTAACAAATAAAAAAGAAATCTTCTGTTGCAATTACAAAGACATGTAAGATTATATGGAATCTTAGCAAAAACCTCTGAAAAATTGCATAACCTTGCAAGATATTTGTGATCACATCAAAGCTATCACTAATCATTAGTAATCAGATTATGTTGACCGAAAAGGATACTATCCGTCTGTCTGAGATGATATTTCTCATTTAAAAAAAAAAAGGTGTCATATCTTTCTTGTTGCACAATTATAATACAAAGCATAATACAAAGCAAAAGTAAAGATTTTAAAGAAATCATAATAAAATTCAAAGGAACACTGTATTTTTATATAAACTCATGTATATTAATGTCCATTAGTCTTTGTATTTCTTCAATTACAGTATTATTTATGTTTTATTGTTTTTTAAATGTACCATGTTAATATGTTTATTATTAATATCAACGAAACATAATTACGATAGTTACATACAAATTCCAAATAACAATATGATATTTGTTGACAAGTGATCAATTAAGGAAAATCGTCATAGATGTTTCAAATTTTATGAATCAACTCTTGTTTTTATGAATTAAAATTATTTTATTTTATATTTTAAACAGAAATGGAAATATATTTTCGTGAAGAAATGTGCAGAATTATTCTTTTTTTTCAAGTTTCAAACGAATTATCATAATAAATAGTAGAGAATATTAATCATTTTCAATTTGATTCTTGTTGAAATTGAGACCAAGCTTCATTTAATTCAGCAAAAATCAGTTTAGCTAACTGTTCATTTGGATCATCACCAAGCTTTAATAATAAAACAAACATAATTTTTAACAAGGTACATATAAAATAACTTCTTACTCTATCTGGATGAATATGAAGTACGGCTTTTTTATAAACTTTTTTAACTTGTTCATTTGTTAATAATTCACTCATTTGACATCCAGTCCATGTACATTCTGGCCATGTTACACTTGATAAACTATATAATAATGCTCGAATATTTCTTCTTTTACCTTTAGTCCATTCTCGAACCTATTTAACTCATAAAAATTAAGATAATTAAATTTAAATCGATTTTTACTTTGAGAACTGTTGGATCAATAGCTTTATCTAACGTAGCTTTTCGTTGATTATCGATTATAGGTGATGTTAATGGTTCGAGTTTATGTTTAGAATATTGTTCTAATCCATCTATTCCATTAAAATAGTCATAAATATCGATTTTTGTTTTTTGTGAACGATTTGGAGGTGAATTCGACTTAACTGTGTTTATCAACAAAAAGATATTTATCAAAAGTATAAAATTTTTTTTTGTTTCCATTACTTGATTGTGGTTGAGAAGAAGGAGTATTGTTTGTCATTATAGTGGCATTATAATTAGGACTACTTGTTGCTGATGTTGTATTAGATTGTTTAGTTGAATCTAAAACAAATAAAAAAAATATGGAACGCTTCACGATTTTGCGTGTCATCCTTGCGCAGGGGCCATGCTAATCTTCTCTGTATCGTTCCAATTTTATTATATGTCCCACCGAAGTGGGACAATTATCTCTCTATCTTATGCCTATATATATTCAATCGAGAGAAATAGAAAGAAAATGGTGAATGAGTAGAATGGAAAATTTCGAGCAATAGAAATGAATGACATCTATCAAAAAAAAGTCTTACTTGACGCGTTCTGTTTTGTGTTAGCAATTGTTGTTGCTATTATAGGTGTCGGTAAAAGCATTTGTGATACATTTCTCTGTAAAGCAAGTTTATGTAAATCAAAATTATCATCAAGAAGATTTGTTTCGGAATTGATACTTGAATTAAATTCATGTTGTTGTTTATCAGATGACATTGATCTTTCAAATATGAATACATTATTTGAATTATTTTCTTCAATCTCCAGAAGAGTGCCAATAATTGTTTGTTCTTTATTTTGTTTTTCTTCCATTAATGGTAGTGAAAGACTGAATTTGGATAAGATGTAAAAATTTATCTACAGAAAAAAATAATAAATTGGCACTGTTTAAAAGTTTTTTCTTTTGTGTGCTGTTTTTAGTTAACATGCTGGAAACAGATTTTATTCTTCATCATTCAATCACGACTATTGATTCAATTGATAGTACTTCTCATATTCGACTTGATCGTAATGATCATTTATGTCGTATGTGCAAGAATCAACTAATTGAAAAACAATAAACTAATCATGCACCAATTGAACATCTTACCAGAGAATATATTCAATTGTTAATCATCTATTGACAGTGTATGATGTGTATATATAATGTTAGATAAAGTGATAAAGCATATGTCGATGAATTTATGTGAAACTTAAATTTTAGTATGCTGCTTTTGTAATTCTATACTGTGAAGCTACTTAGAAATGAAAATTCACATAAAATTCGTGGGGAAGTCAATGAATATTTTTCAACTGAAAGAGGATATAGCTCTCACCTGTAGGAGAAATTTGTCGATTCGCAAGCTTGAGCACAACTCCTGACTGCTGAAATACGTTGAAGAGGCAACAAATATTAAAATAAAGTGAGTTGCTAACTATTCCCCAGAAGTCAATGCCACCAGAAAGCGCAAACACACACGACACATACATATGATACTTTCTCTTTCTTTTTTATTTGCTGTCGCACATTGCAAGAATGACGAATTCTTTTCATTATTTGTATTATTTGAGAAGTGCACAAAAAAAAAGAAAGAGAAAGTGCTATAATCGTGTGCATCATGTATATTTTTCTCTTGCTACCAGACGTTGACTTCTATTGAGTTGTTGAAAGATTGTAGTATTCACGCTAGTAAAAACGAGTATAACTTATTGATTAGATCAAAAGTAACATAAAATGGTACAATATGAATTCACTGAATCAAATCTATATCTAATATTTCGAAAATGAGTATTCACGTTCATAGGAAAATGGCGAACAAGAGTAAGATTTATTCGAATGATTTTTCTTTCATTCAGTCTAGACTCGATAGTGATGGATCTGAAATGATCTGTTCGGACGACTTTTTAGCAGCTCTTTCTGGTGACATATATTATCCGCTTAATCTTGTCACAGGCTTTTCTTCTTGCAACATATCTGTAATGACTTGATATTGTTTTAGAAGACTGTTTGAATGTGATTTGATGTGTCAATTGAAATAAGATATTTATTCCTTCTACACTCTAGAAAAAGTAACCTGCTAAACATATAAAACTCTATTTCGGAGATACTATTATCGGAATTTTTAAAAAAGGTAGGTGGAAAAAAGGCTTATAACTTTTGAATGGAAGGTCATAGCGACTTACGGTTTTCAACGTTCAATAGATGACAGTCGGGAGGGGGGCATATCAATGTGTGAAAATGGTCTTCAGAAGTACTTTTTCAGGCCAGTCTTAGTCGACGAACTTAATGGCAAATTGGCGAATCTTTTGAGGGAATTTTTTTCACTAAGTTTGCATCCCAGCATGCCCTCTCCACATTCATACCTAAGCAATTTTGGAATTTCGCTCCCTTGAAACACTAGAGGTCGTTTAAGAGTGCAACTATATGTAAGACACTTTTCGCTGAAAAGCGAAAAAATATTTAGAATATAGATTTTTTGACAACGCTAATCAACATGAAAGGATTTATTTTGGTATTATATTGTAATTTTGTGTTGAGCTCATGAGCGTAAGCACACAATAATGCTTATTTTCGAGTTCCTTTGAAAAAGAAAATCTGTTTCTCTTATAATTTGCTTGATTCTATTTTCTTTCAGTTTTTCATCGGTCTATTATGATAACAGAACTTGCGTTGCTCACTCACAAAATAAAAAGGGTTAAAAAAATTTTCGAATACAAAAATAATTGCTATTCCATATTTTCCTGATCATCATCAGAATCTGTTTCTTCACTGTCAGATTGTATATGAGGGTCGATTTCTTATTTCATAATTGCATCTGCTGCTTTCAACATTTCTTCAACTCCACGAATATGATGAAAATATGAACTTGTACGTTTGTCGTTCATCGCCACCATAAACTGCTCAATCAATTGTTTTACATCATTCTGATGAAATGTTGTGTTTTGGTCACAAACAAACTATTTGAGATTATTCCATGACAGTTCGATTGGATTAAGGCTACAGTATAGTTTAGGAAGACGAAAGATTTCTACAGCACATTTCTCTGCAATACGATCACTCTATTCAACAAAGCGAAGAGAAAAAGCAGGGTCTGCAAAACTCAAAATAAGTCTTAAAAAACTGACTTACAATATATTCTTTTGGTGGACAATTTGCACACACCAGTTGTAATAATTGAGCTTTAACAAACTTTTTTGGAAAATTAATTTTTCGATCTTTAAGCTATTTTTGAATTTCTCCTTTTGTTGAAGCACGTTTTGGAATGACTGATTCTTCCGTGAGTTTATTGTGCCAAGTTGCATTATTCAGACAAATAGCAATTCTTTCTTTTCACCTATGAAGAAAGTGTAAGAAATCATTCATGGAAAATTCGACTCAGAATGCATCAACTCACCAATCTCCTCTCTTAATGTTGCACAAATTGAATCTAACCACGAGAGAAAATGTGTTGAATCCATGTGATGCTCTTCAATGCACGCCCAAATATCAACTGATGGAATACGATAATCCTTGATATTTATTAGTGCTGATACTGCCAAACGAGATCCTATAAACGAGAGAAATAATGTTATGTGAGAGGACGATTTACGAATAACGTCATGGCTTACCTTTTCCTCCGCCTTTTTTTATTTCTCCTTTGTCCTCTAGAGTTCAAATTGATCTTTTAATCTCTCGAAGATTCAACCACGTTTCATCGTGATAATACAAATGAACGTTTGTTTCTCTTAGTTCTTCAAGAGTCTGGAAATACTTTGCTCTTGCTGCTACGAAAGCCTGTGAATCTAACGCAACTTTTATCATTGATGTTCGTTGATAGATGGAACTAAGCTAATAAATGAAAAAAAGCGTGTTGATGTTTTTTGTTTCTTCTTGTCTATGTTAGACCAAACATTTCACTTACATTTCTCATTTTTTTTGCGTAACGTGCTTGTCGAACGAATAGGAAAATCTTCATATTGTTCCTTCAATCTTTTCAAAAATTTGTCAGAGGTTGGATACACTTTTTCTTGAATTAATTTATGAAATTCAAGCCTAAATAAATCTTTTCCTTGCTCTAATAAAATGATGTTTCGATGTCCAAAATGCACTAAAAAGTAAAGAACTGACTTTCTTGCTGTTTGAACGAAAGAATAAATCTCTTACTTTTCTTCTGAGGAGGTAATGCTTGAGGAATAAGAAGATCGATCTGACTTGTTGATGAAGAGGCAGAAGAGACAGTATGCCGACGACAAAGAATTTTAGCTGGTGGAATAGATGTTGAAGATTCACGATGTTTGGGTGTCACTAATGATATGGTGCGACTACGAAAGTCTGTAACATTTGTGTCTGCTTCCCCTTTCTCTTCTGTCTGTTGCTATTGCTGTTGTGGTTGTTCCATTATTGTTTTCTGTCTTAAGTGCTGTAATTCATGCTTTAATCTGTGGACAGGTCTTCCAGAAATATTTAACATTTTAACAAGACGATCGTTCACATTGTAGAGAGGAATGACTAGACCATTTTTCTCGCTTTCAACAAAATTAATAATGTGAAACATTAATTGTTTTACTTCTTGCGAAAATTCATGGCCTTTCGGCATTATGAATAAAGAAGTTATCTAAAACAAATACTGTATATATTTCGAAAAAAACGAAAGACAAATAACCAAGAGAATTATTACGTATATATATATCTTTTCTTCCTTTCTTTTTTTTTCATCCTGGCGTTACACGCTGGCATACTCATGCATAGAGAGAGATCAAGCATTTTAAGTCCTCGATTTTAAAGAAACTAAACCCTTTCATGTTGATTAGCATAGTCAAAAAATCTATATTCTAAATATTTTTTCGCTTTTCAGCGAAAAGTGTCTTACATATAGTTGCACTCTTAAACGACCTCTAGTGTTTCAAGGGAGCGAAATCCCAAAATTGCTTAGGCATGAATGTGGAGAGGACGTGCTGGGATGCAAACTTAGTGGAAAAATTCCCTCAAGATATTCGCCAATTTGTCATTAAGTTCGTCGACTAAGACTGGCCTGAAAAAGTACTTCCGAAGACCATTTTCACACATTGATATGTCCCCCCCGACTGTCATCTATTGAACGCTGAAAACCATAAGTCGCTATGACCTTCCATTCAAAAGTTATAAGCCTTTTTTAAAAATTCCGATAGTACTTCTATGTAACCATTTAGAGCTTAGGGGTGTGGGTGTGGGTGTGGGTGTGGGTGTGGGTGTGGGTGGGTGTGGGTGTGGGTGTGGGTGGGTGGGTGAGGGTATGGGTGTGGGGTCTCTTAAATCACACTCATACCCATATCCATACCCTTGCCCACACCCATACTCACACGCATAATCTGCTCGTAAAATAAATATGAAGTGGATCAAAACTTGTTAAATCGCGATGTAAAACCTAATGGAACAATCGAGTATTCTCGATAGTAATTGAGACTTGGAGAAAGAGGCTATTTGATGGTATTGTATGATTTTTTAAATACTTGGTTTGAAATTGATTTTACCGTATAAAAGATTTCTTAGAGAAAAACTTACTTCTTTGCACTCTGGAAGTACAGAAGTCTGCTTTTCCTCTTCTAATAAAATCTCAATATTTGAAATCTGATTATTATGAAATCAAGAAGAAACCAGTATTGATAAGATCTGTATGGATCAAAGGTCGTTATTTCGAGTGCTTTTTTTCTCTGAAATAATAGGAATTCGTTTAAGAAAAACAACTGAAAATAATCATCGGAGACTAATTAACCTATCATTTGTTAATTACCAAATATTATTTCTTTAGTTTGATCGTTCTCTTTTTACTTTATTCAATAAATAAATCTCCATACAAAATATTTCTCTGAAGTATTAATCAACATGTAAGAATTATTTTTTTATCGTCGAATGGAATGATTATTAATGAAATAAGAATTACATTAGAGGTATGTGATGTTTACACTGTACTACTTTTGATCAACAACTAAAAAGATAAATAATTCCATTTATGTTGAGGCTCTCAAATATTCCGTTAGTTTAATGAGTCCTTCAATTTTGGCTTTGTTTACGCAGATTTCTGGTAATTTTTTACCATCAAAGTAGAACGCACCATTCTCAAGCTTATCATTGGGAGTGTTCACAGCATATAAGATGGAATCAGCACCGAGTTCTGGTGAACGAGTTCCTGGAGCATGCTTATTAATATCAGTGTTGCAAAAACCTGGACATACAGAATACATGAATATGTTTTTACCATCAGAATACTGGCGTGCTTGAACTCGAGTGAGAGCGATCAAAGCCGCCTTAGAGATACCATACGCCAGATAGTGTAAATCATCAGGATATCCAGCTTTTTTAAGATTGTTAAATTCGAGTGCTGAAAGAAAATCTTCAACAAGTCGATCAAGTTGTTTTGTGGTTAATGTTGAGGATGTGTACTTATTTTGAAGATCTTTCGACATACACATTAATATAATTGAACCTATTTGACTGGCGACATTGACCACACGACCATTGTCACGTAAAAGAGGAATTAAATGTTCATTGACTATTTTAATTCCATAATAATTAGTAGCTAGCGTTTCTCGAGCAGCCTGAACACTATCATCTTTTGGTAAAATCCCAGCATTGTTAATAATTACATCTAATTGATCGTTAGTCTTTTGTTTAAACTCATTGATAGCATGAGTGACACTTTTCTCTGACGATGTATCCAATTGTAGAAGATGTACGTTTGGTGGAGAGCCTAATTGATGAAGTGCTTCTTGACCACGTTTTAAATCACGACTACCAAGAAAAATAATAGGATTGGTGTTAGATGACGATTTTTGAGCAAGTTTCTTTACAACTTCAAAGCCAAGTCCTTTGTTGGCACCAGTAACCAGAACAATACGTTGCAGCCCTGTTTTTAACGACATGCCATATATATAAATGCAGTAACACACATGTTGTCGTTATAAAGCAAGAAAAAATGTCGCATCTTGATAGAAAAAAAAACATTTTTTTTGTTCGTTCTTCGCTATCGTATCATATAATGACCTTCCCTCTAACAACACGTGCGCCATTGCTTTTTTTTGGTGATGTATTTTTCCGCACCATCCATAATCCTTTTTACATATCGAATATTTTTGCGCTAACAGATAAAATAAAGTATTAGATGTAAATGAATAATCCATTCCATTAACGAATATCGAAGATGCATGGAACTTGACTGATGTAAGTTGCAGAATAGTTATTTAAATGTGCATTGAAAGAAACAGGGTTTCCAAATCTCCTGATTTGACCAGAAGGCTCTTGATTTTTGGACTTTTCTCCCGATGAAAAATCTTCTGATTTAAGGAGCTGATTTTCAACATTTTCTTCTGATATCTCCTGATTTTTAGTTTTTTCTTCTACTTGGTTGTTAGCGATACCTTGAATCAATAAGAGTGTTACACTTGATAGTCCATTCTTTATTAAAACAAAGACATTTTATATAATCGAGAAAAAGTAGTCACTTGTGTCAGACATTAGGAGCGAGCTGTTCAATCTATGATATACGTTCGAGTGTTCGAAATACTTGCATATCCTCAGGTGATAGATACTTCTTTTGTATATCCAAACCTGCTTCGTAAGAGAACAATGCTTCATCGTACAGTCGTAAGGTTGAATTCACATCACCCATGTAGCACCAGATTGTAGCAACAATTTGTTCATTCAACGGATGACAATTGAACATAAGGGTGTGGTGGGTGCTTGAGCGTGTTTTTATGTTAGAGTATAATCAATAACTAGCAAGACCGGTTTCGATGAGTGCTGAAATTAAACTCATCAATTGCTTTTTGATTATGATATGTTATGGATAATAACTCTCTGAGGAAAACTTCTAAGCTGATAACACTCACATTGATATATTATCGGGTACCTTACATAAACCAAGTACCCAACAAAATGTTTTGAAGAGATTTTCCAACAATCAATGACTGTATAAATTTGTATCGATTGAATTATTAGAAGAATCACTCAAAAGAGTCAATAAGCTAGCAAGACACGTGTTTCGATTACCGCTTAGATGATCACTGATCAATTGCTTGTTAGTATAGTATAAATCTTCTACTATGTAATATTATCGATGGAAGTTTTATGCGAAAACTTCCAAACAGATAATGAACATAAAAAGTTCTTAACAAATGGTAATGGAAAAATAAGGTTAGGTTAGAGATTTGCATGCTTTTTTTGTGAGGATTATGAAATACTTACATCGTTTGCTGGATTGTTGCTGCTACGCTGAAAGCGTTATTGTTTGTAGACATTGTACTGGTAAGTATATATCTAGAAGACAAAATATAAATGAAATACTTGTAAATTCAAAATGAATAATTATGAAAGAAAGTAATAAAGATGTAATAAAAGAATGAACATTAATTGTAATGAAATAAGAATTAATATGTTGCATAGTCTAATATCAGAGTTTGAATAATGACAAATACAAGAAAGTATAGTGTATGAAACATTTCACATATTTAACAGAAAAAAAAACTATGGAAATAACAATGTGTAACAGCAAACCGGATCTGTGTAGTAAAGAAGTATCATAGATAGACAACGAAAACAAAAACAGAAAAAAATCTTTAGATTTTTCAATCAACAGAAAACATTTGTGTCATTAATGGAATCGTCCTTGTATTGTTCTATGAGCTGCTTCAGTGGTTGGCTGTATCTTGGTCGACATATCACGTTTAGGCTTCTTGTGTATTAAAAGAGTTTGTAATGTACGATTTAATATTGCACCAAGAATAACTCGGGTATTTTTGAAACGTGATCCTGGATAAACATAGAATTTTTACCATATTTGACGATATTCTTTTTTGAAATCTAATAATGGTCCATTTTCAAATGTATGATGGAGATAAATTTGATCTTCATGTTCATAATTTTTTCTATTTTGAATCAAATGACCATTCACCTGGACTTTTGTTTTACTTTCTCTTCTTGTTGGTTTGTAAAGTAATGCATTATGTAGCTGTTAATATGTTGCATTGTCTGGTTCAGTCCATATCTTCATAGCATCATGTTTAACAAAGAAGTTTTTTAAATGATGTTGTATAAATTTTGGTGGATAACCATTAACAAATAATATCATTTTTACACTTAATAGTTCCATATCAAAATCTTCCACAGTTGAACAGATACGTGCTACTCGAACTAATATTGTATAAATTATATTGGCATGAATAGATCGTGGATGGTCAGATTTATAAGGTAGAATATAGGGTTCACAAGCTGATTTATGATAAATAGTTGTTTTTAAGTTTCCATTATTATTTTCAATACTAGCATCAAGATATTCTAATGATTGATTTATCGTAATAGTAGTTTTAATGTTTGGATCTGTTTTCATTATTTCTTCAAGTTCTTTTAGCATTTCTTCTTTTGATAAATTAGTTGTCATAAATACATTGCCAATATATCTATAAAATATTAATAAAGTATCAGTATAAAAGAATATAGAAATAATTATTTGAAACTCACCGGCTATAAATTTCATGACGTCTATTTTGATGTTGAATTAATTTTTGTTTTCATTCTAACATATAAATATTGGCTAAAACCCTAGTAAATAGTGAATCCATAGCACCATCTTTAATTTGTCGATAATATTTATCTTTATAAGCAAATAAATTTGTATCTAAAACAACACATGCTAATTGAATAATAGTATCTATTTTGAGATTTCCAATTTTTCCATTAATTGAATCTTTTTGACAAAACCGTCTTAACCCTCAGACGGTATTTTCATTTTATCACACAAACGGTATTTTGTGGGTCCAGTGGGACCCACATGTAAATGACTTAGGAGAATTTGATTTTTTTTTGTCTATTTTGCTTTAGATATGATAATGAATTAAAGCTTATATTATAATTTTTATCGAAGCATGGATGCTTTAGTATGATTGTAATGTATGAGAACGATTGCATTTTTAAAAAGTTTTTGAGAAGGGATTATGATAAAATTACTGCTTTAAAAAGTTATCGGATGAACAATAATGTATATGACTATAGTATGGAGAGTGAATGTCGTCATATATAGCCACTTATATTAAGAGTTTTGTGCTTGAACAACTTTTGAAGTTTTCAGGCTAGTTGTTTTCAGTGGAAAAAACTCAGGTATGATTGCCATGACCATGACCAAAGTCGATGGCAGAAGTATCTCGACCAAAATATAAGAAAATCCATCAGACAAAGATAAAAAACACACGATTCACTATTGGCAATGTTGCAGTAACGAATTATAGATAAATAAACTCTCAAGACAGTAGAGAGCAGATGTAATAGGAATAAAAAAAACAGCTGTATAACATCAAAGGTGTTAGAGGGTCTTTGCGAACCCACATTTCAGTTTCTTACTGGTAAGGTTTTTGTAAGAAATTTGATATGGCACTTGTGCATCGTTAGAAGACTAACGATTAGCGGAAAGATGGTTCCGAAAAGGTTAGATCTTTAAGTAGAAAAAAAATGAAAAATAGCGTTGTGGGTCTCGTCGCATCCACCAAAACCGTAGAAAAGTTAAAGCAGCAATAGCACTATCACGTGGTATCATAGTATATAAATCAGCCACGTCAAATGTAACAAATAATGCTGTTGAAGTGAGATAACCTTGCTGTTGATATTCTTTTAATTTTCGAATCACATCGATATTATTGAGGGTGTGTGTATGGGTGTGGGGTGTGGATATTCACTTCTTCCACACCCACACCCTAATCAGAACTTTCCACTTCAATACCTCAATTATTAAGATAAAATATTTTTTAACAAATTCCGTATCGGATTCTGTAGTATTACGATGAAGTTTATTAAATTCACTTGGCTATAAATGCATATCGATATGTTTCTGATCCTATTGAACAAAAAAACAATTATTTGACATTGTTGTTTTTTCTAGATTCATTATAATGAATTTATCAATATTCAAGTATGAAATGATCGAATTAAATATGTCCAACATAAAACTAAAGAAGCAATTAGTTCATCAAGTTAATATATCTTTAACCCAAAGCAATCATGCAAATTGATGTCCAATTTAAAAACTTTATTTATAGAGTAATCTGTTTCTTACAGACACGTCTTTCCCTTTTTCTCATACCGTTTCCGTTTGTTTGCTATTGTTATTTTTAATATTTGTGGAAAATGTAAATAAAAACAAAAACACCTAAAGCAAAGAGATTGACTGTTTATTGAGAAACTTTTTTATTTGAATTTCTTCCTGATGAAATTAAATAAATAAATATACAAAGAAATTTGATTCACACATAGTCATAAATTCATGAAAAAAAAGTGAACATAATAGAAAAAATCAAACAAAAAATAAATTCAATTTTTATCTTCATCATTGAGTACTGTATCATGTGTTGTTGCACTTAAAGGACTTGAATTATTCATCATTTTATCATCACCTCTCATGTTACCACCATTGATTGATCCATAATTGCTAACTATAATCTGCTAAAAAAGAAAGTTATATATTAATCTTTTCTCTGATTAACTTTTGATCTCGCCATCAGATTTGTCTCTGTCAATCAGAAATTTCAATTTAAATTATGATGGTTTTGAAATGAGAAAATACTTTTACGTTTTCAGTGAAACACAAAATTTATTATTTAATTCAACTACAGTCACTTTACACATTTGCCAATTAGTTTATATTCTGCTTCGGTTTTATCTAATTCAACTTGTAATTGCAATAATTCTGCTGGTGATTTGCTTTCTTGATTCGTCGCTTCCATGAGAACTACTTGGATACTTTAAAATATTTTCTTTGTTTCATCTTCGATTTGAAATAGTTTACTGATCAAAATTATAAGAGGTTCACATTGAATTTTCAAGAAGACTACCATCAATGTTTGTTTACATATCTCACCACTAGCATTATTGATAGTGACCTGAAATTTATGACGAACCATAATCAAGTTGTTTTAGAACTTATATTTCTGAAATAAATACATGTATATGAATATGTTACAATTGTAACCTGTAACAGTTAATGCCAGGTTCGATCTAGTAGAGAATTTTTTACCAGTTGATAGACACAACTTTTTCTCTGTCAGCCGATGTAATTTTGTTTTTAGTTTTTTCATAGTTTTTTTTCGTAAACTGAACACTTTTTACCAACGTCGAAACTTGATTAAGAATTTCGAAGATAAATATTGACGAAGTTATTTTTTTTTGCAGAAATAAACATTTCTTATTATATTTAGGATAAAATTTCTGTTCTTATGCTGCGTGGGGTGGTTGATAAGAAGCAGCGTGCTATTTCATTTCTATTACAATACAAGGAAATTTTTCGCTCGGTTGGATAAAAATAAAAATCATTTATGAATAAAATGTTGTGATTACACATCCGATCAAGCTAATCCGTAAAGCACATCACGTTATTGAATTTCTCATGGGATATATCCTGCTCATTAGAATTATTGTAAAACAGTGACATCTATATGTAAAAAATCTTCATTGAATCTTTTTTAATAATATAATTATTTTCTCATGTGAACATTAAAAACTTTCAATAATGATTTAATTTAAATCATTATTCAATTAGTCAAATAAATGAACTAATGAACGATCTGCCAAGAAAAAAATGCAGATGTGAGCGATCAATCTAGCTAACTTCAAATACAATCAATCATTACAGCGTGTCGTAGTATTGTTCTTGTTCTGTTCTTTTCTTGTTTCGATTGAGACAAAAAATATCGAGGTTTACAAATTTCCACTCTAGAGACATTTTAATCGTCTTTAACGAAATACTTTTATTCTTTAAAATTTTTGCCTCTTTAATGATTCGTTTATTGAGATTTATTATTTATTTTCCAAAATTATTCCTAATATCTACTATGCAGATCTGATTTCCTAGTCCTTCAAATAAATATAACAGTAAATAAAAGACACGATATTGATAGTTTAATGGATCAGACATGTGTATATGTTAAGATTAAATTACCTTCTAAACTCACGTTTAGAAAACAATTGTAAAATAATGATCCAATTCAATAGATATATTATTTTTGCGTGCTACTATTAAATTGCCTGTTAATGTCAAAGCAACTGAGGCACACGAGAATACTAAAACGGAAATTTTACTGATCAATTTAATTAACTAATTTCTATTAGTCATTCTCTTCGTTTTTGTTTTGATATTTTATAGATAGAAATCATTTGTAAATGAACAGAAATGGATGATTCAACTAGTTTAAGTAGTTTAAATTCAGCTGATTTTATTCTTATTAATAAAGAACAACCTCAATTAAAAGTTGCTGCTGGTATGTGCAAATTTTTTTCTTTCCTTTCTAACTTTTATTCTAGTATAAATATAGAAAAATTCTTTTTCTTTTTTCTAGTAAGTAAAAAAAAAACACGCTCTGTCTTTTCCCCCTCTTTTATTTAATATGATTCTAACATATGTCAAAATTTCTTTTTTTTCGTCGATTTTTGCTTTATTTTTATCGTTTGTGGTTTATACACTAAGATTGTTTCTTTTTTTTTTTTTTGAATTTAGGTGGTGAAATTGTTGATTTAGAAAAGAATATGGCAGAAATATTAAATGAAGTAGATTTCTTTTCATTATGTTTTAATTATATTTATTTATCTATTTAGACTTCTGATAACAATATTCCTATACCTGAGTCAAATCCTGATGAAAATTTTTCTCAAATATCAACTGAACAAGGTAAAAATTTCATTTTTGTTTTTGTTTATTTTTATGTTAATATGTTTTATATATAATAGAAGAATCTCGACCTGATCTGACAACTAGTGTACTTTTTCATGGTGTAACCTATTTAGGATCTTCTAGTGTAAATGCACCTAGATCTGAAGATGAGCTTCATAGGTAAAAAATATTTACAAAATAAATAAACATTATTTTTGTCTTTTAAGAAATATGGCCATTTTAAATGAACAAAGTAAAGTTGCTCTTGAAGTTACTCTATGTGTTCCGGACAATGCTGATGGCGTAGTTCGGTGAGTTAACTATATAGACTATAGGAGATGCTTTGAATTAGAAATCGAAAATAAAAAAACAAAGCAACAATGATAAATAGATCGTAGAAAAATAGTCGATATCGATATATTTTGACTTAGAATTTGCATTACGCGTGATTTTATGGAAATGATTAGATATGTGACAGTTCTCAAGCTCGATGATTCCCATGAACAGAATCAAATTACAAGTCATCGGTACTTTTATTAAATGAACACGATACAGTAAGAAGCTACTTTGATGCCAACCAGTCCAATGACATTCTCTTTTGCTTTTCGGGAAAAACTGGTTTTTTCTTATAGATATAAGATCTCAACGTTTCAATGTATTTTTACTTTTTCAAATCGATTCGATCATGACCGAGCAATGCATTGTACTTGAGAACAGGTCACAGAAGTGAAAAAACGATATTGTTTTATTAAGAGAATTTTTTTAATGAAAACTCATCTACAGATGATGATAAAGTAATCATGTATCCAAAATTATGACATTTGATGCCAACATTGTGTTCCATTCCAGTGTCATTAGCAACAAGCAAATTTTGAATTACTTATTGTTTTATGGAATTTGAGATGATTTCCTTTTTTTTTTGTCGTTGTTGTTTATGAAAGAAACTAAATAGTATACTTTTGTATATAAAGTAAAAGGTTAAAAATCGTACTGTGACTGTGAAAGTCAATGAAAAAAAGTGCGGAACTGGGTACAAAAAATCGTACCCGTGTGCTGGACACTACATATATTTAGTGTTTGGGTATAATGAGAATGTATATGAGATATCATCATTTAGAAATATTGAATTAAACTAGTTATTTGATGGTAAAGATATGTCAGAACATGTCTCTCTGAATTCGATATTGAAAAAATTCAATTAGCATCGAAATATATCTTAAATACATATGTAATATGTTTAGACTTCTTGATCCTCAAAGTGAAGTTGAAATAATGTCATATCGTGTTTCACAAATACTTTTTTGTGCTCGTGGTCCATCAAATAGTCCATTAGCATGTTGTTGGGCATTTACTGCATCACGTCCATCGATATTAACAAATGAACAAAGTGGAAAAAATCCAAATGAAATTCTTTATCAATGTCAAATATTTCGATGTGAAAATCAAGATGCAGTAAATTGTTTTTCTTTTCTTACAGAAAACAAAAAATAATCTTTATTTTTAAATAGATTTATCGAATTTTATTGAGTTTTGCAAATGCATTTCGTCGAACATCTGTACCAATAAATACTCAATCGTCAACTTCGCGTCGTCCATCATCATTAATCAGTCAAGCAATTCAAGCAACTGTAGCTCAATTACAACCACAAACATTATTAAATTTAAATCAATTATCAAATAATCAACAAATATTTGATGGATCAATTAAATTTCGTTGTTATTTTGATATTAAAGAAGAAAATATTGATAATAAAGGAAATGTTATTTTCACTTCTGTACCAAGGTGATATTTTAATTAAAAAGAAGATTTCATTTTCTTTTTGTTATAATAGACCAGAAAAAGATGTATTTAATCTTCGAAAAAATGTTCGTAAAAATATTAGTGTTACTCTTCAACAAATTCGTGGTTCACCATTAAATATTGACAGGTAAAAGGTGTTTTTCTTTTGTTTTGTTTTTTATAACTTTTGTTTCATAGATGTTTTGGTTTACTACTTGCTCAAGGACGTAATGTGCGTGCAAGTGATATGCAATTACTTGATCTGGTTTGTTTTTTTGTTTTGTTTGTTTATTTTTTAACAAATTTTTTTTTTTATAAAACAGGAAACCATGGGAAAATCAGATGATAATCGATATTATGTTGTTAGAGGATATTGGAATCCATTATCACGTGCTTTTAAACATTTGACATATCTTAATGAAGAAACACCTAAAGGTGTAGAAAAAAAATTCTGTTTAAATTAATATTTATTTTATTTTATTTTTTTGTTATATTACAAAGGTGCTCGAATATTTCTAACAGTTGCATTAGATATTGTGATAAGTGGTATTTCTGAACCAGTTCGTTTTTTAATTGAAGCTAAAGCTCGTATTAATGAATCAAATAAATCAAACGATATTATTTCTCAAGATATAAGTGATACAATTTGGTCATCATTTAAAAAAGTAACACCATTTACTGAAGAGTTTGATATGATTATCAAACAGGTAAATAGGAGATAGACAAAAAAAAACCAACATGAAAATGTTTCATCTTTGAAAGGTATCATCGAAAAATTCTCATCAAGATGAAACATATGAAGTAATACAATTAGAAAGTAAATTAGAAGCTGAAAGACGAGCAAAACTTTGTCGATTAACATCAAGTAAATTTCATTTTTTTTTATTTTAAATAAATTCATATACAAAAAAAATAATTTTTTTGTAAAAAAAAAAAGGAGTTTCAACAACTAGTACAGGTGATGATGATGATAATGATGAAATAATTATTAGTGGTTTTGGACATGTAAGTAAAGAGTGTAATGATGAAGTTCTTAGTAATTGGAGTGATATATTAATTAAATGGAGAAAAAATTATTCTGAACGTCCAAAAGGTTTACAAATACTTGTACAAAAAGGTATTCCAGAAGCATTACGTGGTGAAGTTTGGCAATTATTAGCTGGAAGTGTTAAAGATGAAAATGAAATGATTAATACATATCGTTTATTATTAACAAAAGAATCAGCAAGTGAAAGAATTATTATTAATGATCTTAATCGAACATTTCCAGCTCATGAATATTTTAAAGAACAAGGAGGAAT